AAAGTCCTGGAATTTTATCTGCTAACATGTTCCTCTTGTTAAATTCCTGTAATAACTGATGCGTTATTATGATATGAACATGGGGTGATTGCCAGATTAGATATAAAGTTTATTAAGCAACTAGAATTAAAAGTTTATCACAAAAAGCCTTTAAAGGTGAATCTAAAACTGGATGAAGAGGTAGTTTAGAGCTGAGCCTGATATCGTTATTGTATATGAAGACGCATAAGAAAACACAGGAATACAAAAATCTCCTTTGCAGAGATAAACATCTAAATTAAAGATTAAACTCACCCTCAGACCAATCAAAATCACTTTATAGTAACAGATTTCAATACGACTTTCAAAACCTCTAAACTATGTAAAGACTGTAAACAGCGTTTCATAACATAGAATCCCTAATCACAGAAGCTACTCCAGTCTCCAGTCATGCAGATGAAAATTCAGATGTGACCAAAAATTGGCAAAGGCCTGAGGTCCTGCAAAGTTTTAAATAATTTTTTTGCAGGTGTATATATAGCTTATTTTTGTCTCTGTTATAACTGCAAGGATTATAATAAATAGAAATGATTTGGTAGAAAAATGTCAAAATTTAAGGCCTCTGTACCCTGAGGCCCGGGCCAAGTGGTCGTCCTGCTTCTCCCTCCCCCCAGTAGGGCTGTGTTGCTATAATAATATATATTGATATGTGTTCTTTATCAGGGCACCAATAGTAAGTTAGTTAAATATGTCTGAATGTGTGCTTGTATATTACTGATTTCAGTTTATGGATTTGTATCAAACTATTCTACACTGGAAATTTTGGTTGCAGGTATTTGTCATCATTTTCCTCCTGGACCTGATCCTATAATAGTCCTCTCAAAAACTTTCATTTCATTAACTTCATTGGGCATTAAATATACTCAAGGGATGGAGGATTGAGCCCAGCTAGTGTTGTAGTTCCAAAACGGAGCAAATATTTTCTCTCTACTGGGATTGTCACACTAAAGCCCCAATATCCATTCATTTAAAGCAAGTGGTCAGGCGGTATCTTCAGGAATTTGAACATGTTATTTCCTATGTATTTGAAGACAGCTTATGTATAACTTCATACATTATGTGGCATTTGGAATAAAAATATGGTGCATGTTAATAACAGTTGTTTGTGATTTGCCAAATGCTGTATGATGATCTTCAAAGTACAGGTTGATATGTGGAAGCAATATCTAAAACTGTAATTAACATGCGAAAGTTTGAAAATCCTAGACTACAAATATACAAAGACATTTTAATTGTAAGTATTGTTTTCACAGCTGTTAATTTTATGAAAAATCTGTGGCTTGAATTTATGTCCAATCTGGATTTAGACTTGATGTTCTGTTACCAGCCTACAGCAGCAAGTTGGCTGAAAAATACAAGGGCTCTTTCATAAAGTCATGGTGACTGTACTGGTCTGTTCTATAAGATGTGTGAGCTAGCTGTGCTTTTGGAATGGTACACACTGAAATCCTTATTGAGAAAGAAAAGCGAGATCTGTGTCTGTTACAGTAGTAAGTGTATGCAATCTGTGGCTAAACAGTTCTTTCCACAACTCTTGTCTGGTAGAGAGTACACTTTGGTAGTCTGGTAGAGCTCAGAACAAAGCTATTTTCATTAATAGAGCCTGTGATATTATACAAGTTTTGTGTCTCTTTATGTGCTTGCTAGTGTTTGCATTTCCTGGCTGAATATGTAAGGAAAGAAATGCTTCCTACAAGAACTAAAGATGCGGTAGGTAATTGTGACAAATCTTGAATTCTGAAATAATCCATGTAACAAGTAGTTGGATGTTTCACCCTTCTACCCCTGCCCCCAGGGAGGAAGCATTATAGACTGCTTAGTTTAAGAGGCCTAAGAACATGAAGGACTCGAATTGGTACAAATATTGTGTACTGGGAGGGGAAAATGCCATCTAAGTGCTAATGAGCATGAGACTGTGACCAACAGAACCGTACGCTGTGGAAGGACCCGAAGTATTTTACCAGGGACCCCAACTGGAACATTGCTGGCCACTTCATAAGCTAGTCACGAATATAAGCTGTTTGTTGGTTTTTAGAGAAAACAGATCTTAAATACTTTTGTTTTGAATGAGTAGTACTTCACTTTATGAAATCTGAGGGGTCACTGGAGAGCTCTGCCATGCCCCTGAGGGAATGCAGTGCTGAAATGAAGTTAGACGTGAGGTAAACAATGATTTGCAGGATTCTACAGGAAAGATCCTGCATTGAAGGAAGGAATTGTGGGATTCTGCCCTGAAAAAAGTGGTGTGTGAAGGTCTGAGACCTAAGTGGATGCCCTTCAGGAACATGGGGGAGTTAGAGGTGCAGTCAATTCAGTGTTTTTACCACATGAGGAAAACTCTCAAATGCTTATAGATTTGGGCCAACTATAGCAAGAAAATGGCTCTCAATTTTTTTTAACTTGAGAGAGAAATTTTTCCTGGAGTTTCATGCCAGGACATTCTTGCAAAGGATTGTGAGTTGGTAGAGTATCAGAGCTGGCTGGAGGGTGAATGGCATAAGAGTTTCTCCCTTCTCCCCCAAAATTCTTGGAACCTCAAGACTGCAGGTTGGAAGGAGGAGATTTTGTAAGACTGAGTTAATCTGAAGGCAAGCAGGGTACATAGATGGCTGAGCTACTCTGTCCCTCCCCTTTCCTTTCTCCTGCAGGGTCATAGCACTCATACGGTTATGCTGATTTAAAGTCCCCCCTATCCCAGCCCTACTGTGGTCATGCTGGGTTGAATTTGGCTCTGGAAATTAAGCACCCAGGGATCTGTTCCTGGAGCTGCTACCACTGATGCACTTTGTAACCTGAGCTGGGGCAAGTCACATTAAACCCTCTGGGTCTGTATTGCCCGCTCTGTAAAATGAGAAGAATGATACCGGCCATTATAAACGGATAAAATGCTGATTGGAGCTGAGCATTATTTGTAATATATGTGTTTGGCTTCCATGTTGTAAACCAAAGTCTCTACTGCAGCGTTTCTTAAAGTGTGTTCCACGGCACATCAATGTGCTGCGAGGCAGTTGGAGGTGGGCTGTGGAAAACAGAGTTCAAAATGACCACTCTTAAAAGGGCAATGCCTGCTCTCCTGATAAAAGGACAAACAGTTTGGTTTTTTTCCTCTGTCCTTTGTTTGTTTGTTTGTTTGTTTGTTTGTTTGTTTGTTTGTTTGTTTTCTCAACAACTTTTCCCAGGGGGCTTTTTCTTTTGGTCAACAACTTTTCCCTTGGGAATGGCTGCCCTTAAAAGGGCAAGCCTCCTTTTTTTCCTCAACAAAACTTATTGTTTGGTGTTCCTCGGTCTAAAAAGTTAAAACACTGCTCTACTGTATGCATTATCTGCTTGCCATACTCGTATGAGAGAAGGGAGTTACAGTTTCTAATTTGTTTTTCTGTCTGCTCCTGAGCTCTTCTACTCCATCCCAGCCCCCAGAAACCATCTGCCTGATAGGCATAGCTGGATAGCAGTGTACTCTGACCATACCACTCCGTGTCCCTGCCCCTTCCTCTGTTCTTGTAGAGGCAATAGAAGGGTGTGGCATAGGAGCTAGCTGTGCTGGCTCCTTACCCATTGGCCCTACTCAACTTTGGGGTAGTCTTTAGCTGGAGCAATGCTTTGGAGGTGTGGAGAATCTGGCCCTTTAAAAATAAGACTGCTACAGAATAATAGTTTCCAAGTTTATTGATCAGCTGTCCTTAAATGTGCAAAACATGTATCTTGCAACAAAATTCATTCTTTTTGCTAAGAGCACCTCCCTGGTAAGGATTCATTGTGCTACATGGTGAGAGTGAGAGTACACAGAGTGCATAAGAATTTTAGATGGCTTATGTAAATGTTTGTCACAGATGAAACAGTGGTGAAAGTAATGTTCCTCACACTGAAATATTAGAAGAGCTGCAGTTCCAAAAATGAGAGTGGACTCTAAAGTAGCCAAATGCAAAATTAAGTTGGGGTAAATGAAATGAAATGGTAATAGTTTTGAAATTTTTGAATTTCCTCCTGTGTTATACCATGCCAACATTTATGCCCTGATTTTATGTATGTATGTTTGTATTTATTTATTTAAATGGTTTTTTTTTGGGGGGGGGGGGGGGGTTAATGGGAGCTGAGGGGAAAGTTTAGTTTTGCAAACTTTTTTATTTGTCTTATGTTATCTCTGTGAAAAGTGGTATTCCCTCTCTTCTTGTTTACTGTTTCCTTCTTCGAATCTGCCAAATTAGTTTTAAGTTTTGGGTCTAACTTCAGTTTGTAAAACAGCCAAAGGCCTGGTAGCACTTTATAGACTAACAAAACATGTAGATGGTATCATGAGCTTTCGTGAGCACAGCTACCCCAAAGCTTCAGTTTGTAAACACCTCAGAGCAGGGATGATGGGCCAGATGCTGCTCTCAGACACTCAGGAGTAAAACCAGTGTATCAATTGACTTCCTTCAGGATGTACACTAATGTAACTCAAAGAATGTAACCCATTATCTTTGTCTGCAAAGTGCCTTGTTCACCTCTGGCATGATATAAATAATATACTGTATACTAACTTATTTTTAGTTTCTTCCATTCCAACCGGAGCATCTAGCACCTGCTGTGGTATGGTAATGAAAAGCAGAGCTTTTCTTTAGTGACCAGGATAAAACCAAATTGCTTCATAAAATCTAAACATGAATCTCCTTGTCCTAGTTTTTCATTCTGTCTCTCAAATTGTCTTTTTCCCCCATTCAAATGTTTGACCGCACTGACACCTCAGCATGAATCTTTAATTCAGAGTGCAGGTGTTTTAATGCTCTTTGTTTTGCTCTGTCGATATTGTGCCTTTACAGTGAGCTGCAGCCATGCATTTAAATTCCAAGCACAAGGTTTGCTTAGGCTGGTGATTGCTCTTTGACCTCATTTTTTCTTTGCAAGCGCTAGCCGTGATTTTTCACGCACACCAAAGTGCAGCCTTGAGAAACTACCGTATGTGTTTGTCTTGTGATCTGCAGACAAGAAAAGGGCAGGCAAATTCCAGCCTTTCAAGAAGTTTTTTGGTAAAAGGAAAAAGAGAGACGCACCGTCAGACTGTGAGGAAGCCAAATTGAAACCCAGCCACTCTTTCGGGAATGTGTGTAATGGCACCCTGTCTTCAGATGAAGAAACAAACAATGGTCTGAGGTAATAACATACATGTATTTGTCAGATGTATTTTGTTTTAAAGGGAAGCCATAAGAGGTATTGTAAATGGAATGAAAGTTGTTCTTGTTTTAATGAAACAGTATTTCATTGCACTGAATGATAGTGAGAGGAAGGCTGAGAATGTCTGTGTGCCTTTCTATCCATATTCTTACACTGTGGCCATTACTGTAGAAACTACGTGTTTAACTTCTTGCACTTCAATAATTGATTCCATGTGTAGATGTATAGAAAGAAGAAAGCCCAGGGTTATATCAAACCAATTCAAACCTACTTTAATAGATTAGTAAACTCAAGGACAGACATCATTGGATCACCAACCCAGTGGGCACCCTACATAGTACCTGAACTAAGTGAGCATGAAGACACTGCTATACTCTCTCTCCCCTCATGGTGGTACCTCTAGCTCAAGGTTGAAATCCACAGGTAGGAAGTGTGGTGGAAGCTCTCTGTCTTGCTGGGTACGATCTGTCTGTTCTATTGATAGAGCTGCAGTCTTCAGTGCCATCAATACAGCAACTTTTTAAAATTATAAGTTCAATAATAAGGAAAAAAGTTATTAACCTAAAATTCGAGGCTGGGGTGTCAGCAGCTGCTTTGAGTCCATGTTGATCAGAAGTGAAGGTGAGAAGGAAAAAAAATGCTGGGCTGAGGCTGGGGATAGAAATGTCAGAAGTAGAGGCAGAGAGCTATGCAGAAATAACAGCATCCATAATGCCTACATTCTTTGCTAGCCCAGACCCTTATATACCTGTGCTAATTTCTGGTCAAAATCCCTCGCTATGGGGTGTGATCTTCTCATGCCTTCAGTTTGTAAGATGGGGAATGGAAATGCAATTTGTGAAAATTGTTCATCCTCAAGTGATAGATTGTTTTCGTCTTTTAGAATTTTCTGGAGAGAGTTCATTTGAGAGTGTAGTGATTAGCTGGTTTCACACACACAGTTGTTGTTGGGCATTTAGTGCACTCAGTGAGATACACCATATGTTATGATAGGCAAATGTAGGACCCAGGGGCCTTGAAAAGCGTATTGTGGGGGATGTTGATCATTATAACAGTGCTGATATGTCTGAAGGTTCTTCTTTGAGTGATGTCCCTTCAGGTGCTCAGGAGATGGTGCTTCCCTGCACCTTTGCATAGGGGCTGATGAGAGTTTTGCGGGGCCCAGAGCAGCACAATTTTGCGGGGCCCCCCTTTGGAGAAAAAAATAGAAAAAAGGTGTCAAATGCGCAAATTGAAGGCTATTTTCATATTAAATGTGAATTGGGTAAATTTGATAGAAACTTAATATAGTTGGATAATTTTTATTTTAATTACATTGTAAGTCATTCTTAAACAAAATTCTGTATTAATAATTACAAATCAAATTTTCATTTGTATTTAAGTCTATTATAGCTGTCTAGCTCTTTTGGCAGAACATTCTTCAATTATGTCATTAAAGTCCATTTCTTTACACGGGTCATTTTCAATTGATGTAATCCAAAGACCTACAAAATGCTCCTGGCTCATAGTAGATCTTAAGTAATTCTTTATTAGTTTCAATTTTTCCATAGTACCTTTTAGACTGAGATTACATTCAAGTTTTCTTTTTTTCTTTAATTTCTGGCTTCCCAACAAATATTTTCTACCTGCGTCTCTCACTCTGCTAGTCATTTTATAATTTTGGGTTATCGGCGAATTTACACTTATAAAATTGTTATTTATCTGTAAAAAATGGAGTGAGTGGTATGATGCGTGGATCACGGCCACAGCTGACAGGTAGTAACGCGTGCGCAAATCAGTTTCAATCCATCGCCCATTGCGTAGTCACATTACTTCATTACACATGTTTCATATCATATTAAATATTAATGTTCGTTATTTAAAAAAAACTAGCCAATAGCCTGTCATAAAATGGGATTTTCGGGTCTCTCCTCCATGCCTGTCTGTCTCTCTCTCCTCCTCCTCCTGTCTCCCCCCTCTTTCTCTCATCCGCCTCCTGCTTCTCTCTCCGTCTCTCTCTTTCTCTTCTCCTCCCCCTCCTGCCTCTCATGCACGGAGCCCAAACAGCTGTTTGTGCTGCTTCCTCCCATGCGGCAGCCCGGCTGAGTGGCACAGAACTCAGCCGAACACCACGACGGAAGGCGAAGGGGCGCAAGGCGGTGATGTACACGGCCAGGGGGCAGGACCTGGAGCCTCTGTCACGCCCTACGCTTCCTGCCGTGGCGCTCTGCTGAGTTCTGCGCCGCTCAGCCGGGCCGCTGCGCAGGAGCAAGCGGCCGTTTGGGCCCTGTGCTGCACCCTCGTGCTGCACGGGGAGTGCGGGACCCAAAGGGCTGTTTGCACTACTGCGTGCTCCCACGCGGCGGCTCGGCGTAGGGCCTATTGAAGTGCGGGGCCTGGGGCAGCCAGCCCACTTGCCCTGCCTTATATCCGCTGCTGCCTTTGCTCAGAGTTGTGCAGCCGTTTCCCTATGTGTTGTGCATGTGTGGGGCCTGCTTTGCATGTTTTTGGCAATTAAAGTATTGCATGCACAACTCATAGCCTTCAATTCCTTCTCTCCAGCCTGAGACAGAGCTCAGCACCCCCAGTGATACCCTGTTGTTTGTCAGATAAGTCTTAGATAGTTAGACAGGTATAGAGTTCTTACATAGTTTAGGTTTCACTTCAGCTTTTTTCCTGTTAAGAAAAAAAATCTCCATAGCTTTCCTCATAGAAAGTTTTATTTTGGTTATGAAAATGCCTGACTCCTCAGGTTTTATGAGATGTTCAACCTGCAGAGAAGCAACATGAATCTCTGATGGGCACAATCAACATGTTTGGTGTCTGGAAGAATCTCATGTTCCTCAGAAATGTGCCCATTGCTCTAAATTAAAGGCTAGGGAATGAAGAGATAGGAACTTGAGGCTGAAACTTATATTAATGGAAAAACCATTAAGACCAGCCTTTGATCCAGTACCAGAAGGACTTTCTTGACAAAGGTCTCCAGTTCCTTCATTACTGAGACCCCAAAATCTGAAAAGCCAGTGGGGAGGGGGAAATAATGCCGGCTTCACCTCCTTAAAGAGAGCAGACTAGAAAAAATAGTCAGCTACTAGACCACTCTGATCTACGCCGACTGTGCTGAGACCAACCACTTATGATGCTCTGGTACTGTTCCTACAGAGGCTGCCACCAGCACCCACTGCTCCAGTGTCAAGGCTGTTTCATGTAAGCTGCCTGCCTCCACATGGCATTGCTAATAACGCCAATGGAATTGGCATCATAAGCCACTTTGACCCCCGTGCCACAGCCCGTGCAATGACACTAGTGCAGTGACATTGATGTATTCCACACCAGTTTTTCTCTAGTCATTTCTCATGTACCTGAAAGATCATCCCAGTCAACATACACCTGTGACCACATGCCACCATATAGGGCCACCCTCTCCTTTGTTTGGCTGTTGGCCATACTGGAGCCCCTTTCTTACAGAAGCCACCATAGCAGAAAACATAGTCACCATCAGACAACACCAGATCACCACCTCCACCCTTCGAAACAACTAATGCATGAGAAGTATCAATGGCAGAGCAAGAAGAGGACACTGTTCCTGACATCTCACCACCCTTTAGTACAGGGCTACTCAACATGCAGCCCATGGGCCGCATGTGGCTCATGGCCTGTTTGTGGCCTGCGGTGCAGTTTGGGTTTACACAGAGCTCAACACACGACCCAGGGTGGGATCCTTTGAACATGGCCTCCGCTGGGAACATGCTCCACAATGGTGAGGCATCTCCCAGGAGGGGTGAGCATTGAAAGACCTAAGCAGACAGGCTGGCTGGAACAACTGGATAAAGGGTGTCGGTGTTTCTAGCCCCCAGGGAGGAGATGCCGGGACTACCAGTGCTGTAAGTATCACTGTGGCCCCCAGGGCTTCCAAACTTTTCATTCAGTTACTAACAAATCTTCTTCATAATCTATATTTGTTAACTTTAAAAGATCTATTTGGAATTATTAATCCTTTTTTCATTAGCTCTGTATTCATTTTGTTTGTGAGTACTGCCCCCACCTCCATGGTTTTTTTGTAAGTTTTTTTTATATCTGTTTTATTCATGGGTGAGCTGAGACATAGAGATCTTAAATGTTGAGTAGCAGAACAGAAGTAGAGTCTGAGAATCTTGCCTGCCAGTTCTCTGTTCTAACCTTGCCTCAGAATCCATCAAGTACACATTACTCATTCAGCAACCTGCCATGTGCATGTTAATATGTTTCACCATCTCATTTCACAATTCCCTGGTAGGAGGAGAAGCTACTTCCACATAGCTCCCCCTACCTGGCTTCCTTGAAAAGAGAGAAGAATGTTTTATCTGTTTCCATCTTACCTTTCTCAAGTTTACAAACCTCAGCCCATTTACTTATTAACCTATGTCCTTAACTGCTGCATGCAAATTGAAATGGCAAACAATAAAAGCACTTATTACAAAGAAAGTAATAGTAAAGTTGATCTATGTTTGTAAGACTTCGCACAAGTCCTTGGAAATCATCCATCATGGAATCTCTATTCTAGGACTGTGATTCATCACTTATTATTTATTGAACTTGGTGCTGTGCAAACATCATAAACAAAGACATGATCTCTGCCCCATGCAAAGTTCAGCTGTCTTCTCTGGTTTCTGATGCCCTGAGGAAATATTAGGGATTATACATTATAAGTCTATTACAGTAGAAAGTCTCTGCTAAGGCTCTGTGAAGATTGCAGTCAGAGGTTTGTAAACTTGAATGTTGTAGTTTGGGTCACAGGAGTTGGAAGTGAATCTGCTCCTGCACAGAAGAGTCTAAGAGGCTTGAGTCTCCAAAGGGAGCCTTCAGTCATTTTTTCATCCCCCCCAGAAGTCTTTCTTTGTTACCCCTTAAGTGGTCCCCCCCTCCTTTCTTTGATTCAACAGGAATATCTGGATATTCCCTGCAGGGACTTCTTGATAAAACCAGCTTCATTTAGAAGGAAAGCTCCAAAGTCTGGTTCCCAAAATTCTCTGGGGGTGGGGAACACAAGCTGGTAAGAGATTGGCTCATGTTTGCTGAACTGTTGTAAGTGAGAGCTGATATTTGCAAATGTGTCAACCCCGTACCCAATAGAGCTGTGCAAAGAATTCATAGCCCAAATAGTTTTATTATGATTAAATTAGCCTTCTTTTTGCTTGTGGAATGTCTATGAATAGACTCTGATTTCTCTGAACACATACTTTATTTGAATGTTTTGTATTTCTTTTTTAAACTCTCATTGGCTAGGATGAATAGTTTTGTGGCTATTGGATACCAACTGTTTGAGCTGTGTTTCTTGGTTGTAGTTTGTCAGATAAATTACATAGTATTGGTGCATTTCCCTGACTGAATAAGTATGCAAGCCGGATACTTTCCTATACGAAACAAAATTCAATTTCTGTGAATCTTTTTTTTTTCTTGATCATGCTGAATACAGGAAGCCTGGTAAAATTACTCATATTCAAATAAGTTCAGCAGCAATCAATCAGAACTATGTAGTACAAATGTTCAAATTAACATCAAAGTGACTGAACCAGTTTAAAAAAAGCCTGTATAGTTAGATTATTTTTATTTACCTTCTTATCTTTAAGGCTTTAGGGTTCACAGAGGGAGAGGTGATACACACCTTCCCATACACCTCTCTCACATGGAGGGATAGAGAGGTGGGGTAGTGACTAATCAACCCAACCCAACCCTCCCTGCTCAGTTGGGCCCCTGGGATGGACTCACCACTTCCTGGTGCTATTTCTTCCTGACGCAATGGGTATGTGTGTTGGGAGTGCATGAAAGGTCACATGCCTCCTCCACATGTCAGCCAGATTCACAGCACAGCGTGGCCAGCAGCAGCCTGCGCCACTTTGTTTAGCTAAAAGGTCCATAGCCACAGAGCAGGATTATCCAATAGGCACAGTGCCTAGGGCCTACGAAAAAGTTGAGGGCGTACAAAAAATGTAGGGCTTAAAAAATTCATAATTGACTTGAAAATAAGAAAAGAACGCTGCTAAATCAAACGTAATAATTTGCTATCTTTAGTCAACAAACAACATACAGGTATAACATCTGATTACTATTAGGCATATAGGTGAAAGGGCATTTCTCTCTCATATTTATATACAATCTAATTTAAAGGCCTACAATTATGTGAGTGCTTAGGGCCTATGAAGACCTTCATCTGGCACTGTGTAGCCATGGAGCATCATGGCTCTGATTGGCTCTGGTTCGCCATTTCCAGCCAAGGGGAGCTGCAGCCTGGGCCATGCTGCTTTCCGCCGCTCCCTGTGACTGGAAACAGTTCCGGGTGGCCCCACGACCCAAGTGTGAAAAATGCTGTCCTAACGGATTAAAAATATTCTGCAATTTATTGCAACAGTAAGGAGCTAAAATTCAGAAGACAGCAGTCTATTTTTGACAAATCCTTCCTATTTTTTAACCTTTCTAAAAGATAAATGTCTTGTTTTTTCCCCGGCACTTTTATTACCCTTAAATGAAGTGTTTTTCGATTATGATAATGTTTGAAGACACTATCTTTCTCCGAGAAGCAAAACAACATGCACCTGTAAACTTAATTGTCGTGACATTTTTTTATATACAGTTCAGACTGCCAAATATGTATGCTGTTTTTGAGCTCTGGCATTTACCATTGCAAATTTTTTAATTGCAGTGATTTCTTTTTCTTCTAATTCTCTGTGTGTTGGGTAAAGTAATTACAGGTGCCCCCTGAACAGACGACAGTCTGCCATCTAGACAGAGATCAATAGAAGCCAACATGGCAGAATCCAATGAATACCTGTAATCAAGACATGTGGGGCTCTGTTGTGTCGAGCCCTGCATGGGTGAATAGGACAAGAGAAAATACACAATTACACTCTCCACTTGTACCCCTTCACAGAAGCTAGCCACAAAGGCACTTTTTGCACTATTGAGATAGTCACCAGCTCTTCCAGGAGATGTTCTTAGGTCTTTACATCTTTTACCAATCAAAGTGTCATTTTCAAGGTATTCACAGGTATTTCTTCACTTTAGATATTGTAAATGCGTCCTTCAAGTAGGTAAATCTAATCAGACCCCCGTGGGTATTTTTTCACTTTATACAGGCTGATCCGCTCTAGTCTGATGATTTTAGTTAACCAGATGTCCACTTATCATGCATGTGACTTTTTCTCGTGGTCCCATGAAGTTTGTTTACAGACACCAGTCCTGGCTCTCTGTGTCCGGTGCTGTTATTTAGCTCTAATTTATCTCAAAATGTCTTCTAACAGCCCTATAAGCAGTAGAAGTGTTGGTAATGCTGCTAGATAATACTGACATCCTGTGGTTTGGCAAATTCTCTGGTCAGCAGCTGTCAGGTCCCAAGGGTGCCAGACTAGATGTTTAACCTATATATGGAATTATTCTAATCTCTTACTGCTAATATTCATCTCTCCAGTAGAAATTTGTGTCAGCACTAAGTACACCTTCATTATCTTGTCCAAATTTTCTTTCCTGAACTTCATGATGCCGTGGATGTAGAACACATGCAATCTTACAAATGTTCAGTGATTTTGTATGAATAGAGCTTCCTATGTGCATATGGTTTGGTGCTGACATTGTTAAATAGGGTCCATAACACATGTCATAGTGTATCCTGGAAGTTGAGATTATAAATTTATAAATTTAACTGTTTTTAAAGATACATATTCCTTATCAGTGATATTTCTTTCTTTTGGCAGTGATAAGGTGGGGGCTTCTATAGTCAACATACACAACATCAGCAACTATGGTACATAAACTTTACTGGAAGGTACAAAGTGGAAAGGTTAGAAGGCTGTGAAATGAATAGAAACATAAGAACATGGATAGACAATTTTTATGGATAGAAATTCCATGTTTGAACGCTGTCTCAACGACTTAATTACATGCATCCTGCTTCAGAAGCCTTTTAAATCTGCACTTGAAAGAGAATCCTCTGAACTGTCATTCATGCTAAAATTCGACACGCTACGCGTGGGTCTCAACAAAGACCCTAGCTATCTTATCCATTACAAAGATAGCTTCCTCAATTATCACCTCTACTACCATTAGCTCACAGACATTTACCTTCACTCCCCCCTTCTCCGCATCCCCCTTCTGTTCTGAAATTTGATTTGTCCTTTTCATATGTGTTCCTTTTTTTTTAATTGTATCCTTTGGTATATATGGTTGTGACTATTTTCTTCCACTATTTGATCTGAGGAAGTGGGTCTGGCCCACGAAAGCTCATCATCTAATAAACTATCTTGTTAGTCTTTAAAGTGCTACATAGTCCTGTATTTTGTTTGATTTTACCAGGGGGACTAGAAATTACTAGACTCCTCTCTTTCCATCGTGTAACAATCCACCTTGCTCCTCCCTTCCCTGATCCTACTTTGAGATAGAATTTGGAGTCTGCAGTGTCCATAAAATATTGTTTTCATTACTGATCAATGAGATCACTCAGTTACATGAAAGACCCAGCCAGAAGTGGGAACAACTTAACATTTTTTCATGAAGATTGGCTTTGGTGATGCTATGGGCAGGTTCACTTCCTCTGAAGTTTGCTTCAAGTATCTGGTTAAGGAAAATGAAAAAAATCAAAGTAAAACTCAGTTGATACCACCATGGTTCATGGGGTTTGGCATCAAACCCACCCACTGAACCTTGCTCCCCAAACCAAACAAACAAGAACTCTACAGGTTTTGTGTGGTTGTATGTGAAATTATAAATTAATACTATGCCAAGACTTCCTTGAGAGCCTGAAAACTTTTGATAAACATGGGCTGAGTTTAGAGTGTGTAACAAAACCAGGTGAGTTTCATAAAGGTGGAGATTTTATTATGAGCATGTGACCTGTTTCCAGTTTCTGTTTTGAACAAAAGATAGGCAAAATATACCTCATGGACCATCCCATTTCAGATGAGGGTAGGAAGAATATTCTTTTCAAATTTGTATTATTTTTCCTTTCAATTAAAACGGGAAAAAAATGCGTGTACTTTACAAAATGTTACTAATCTCTTCTGATAAAGTTAATTTCTTTCTTTTATGGTCAGTGTGTATTCAGAAGGGAAAAATGTCTCTATTTTATTTCTTGGTCTTGACAAAATTGTTTTTGTGACAGTGTTCAGAGCACAATGAAATATCATTAAGTAGCATTTAATATATAAAATAGAGAGAATGTGCTTATTAAAGAATAAAATCAAATAAAATCCTACTAAAACAACCATAAAGTTGTCCCTCTGGTCAGAAAATGAGAGAGAATGAACTCCAGGTGACAGATGTCAGACAGATTGCTTTATGCACGACTGCAGGGCATGCAAATAATAGTGTTGAGGAGAGTAAAAATATCTATGTAGAAGACCAAAGAAAAAGGTATAGGGTAAGGGGAATTACTGTAGGAATGAATAGCAGGAATCATTTTGGGTGATCTTTATAAAATTAAAGATATGAATTGCATTTCAGATCCTCCAATTATACTATGGGCACTCGAGCTTTTTCCCATGACAGTATTTTTATACCTGATGGGCAGGCAGAGAGTGAGCAGGCAGTCCAAGCAATGTCACAGGACAAAATCCTAGGCAAAGTCAAAACCCTTCAGGTAAGAAGTAATAAGCATGTGACTACACAGGTGTAAATGTTTTTAAAAAATCATTTTTTCATCATGTGCTGTAGTATTCTAAGCATGTAAGATGTCTGGTTGCATCCCTGAGGAACTTAGGGGCAGGTCCTCAGCTGCTGGTAAATTGACAGAATTGCAGTGGCGCTATGATAATTTATATCAGCTGGGAATCTGCCTTTTGTAACCTATGGCTCCAATCCTGTAAGTAAATACATGCACCCTGCACTCATGTGGTGCTCCATTTGCATGTAAGTATTGCCCCATGAGGACCGGCATGGGTTGGGGCCTGAGTAAACAATTTTCAGAAGAGAATCATTGAATAAAACACAAAGATTTCCTTTGTATGTTTTGTTGTCATTTAAATATTTTTCCTCTTTTGTCCTTGCATATTTCCCATTAAGTTTTGTTAGTCTTTGTTAGTTCTTTTACTCTCTTAACTCATGTCCATTTGTTTTTTGATTGCCAGTTTGTTTGTATGCTTTCCCATTACTTTTCAAATACATTAGATTTTTTTGCAGGACGTGCAAGTAATCAGTCCTCAAAGGTCTTATTTTTCATTTGCCTTCTATTTTTGTCCTTGAGGTTCTAAATGAATACAAAACAGACCTCTTGAGAAAACTTACCAATGCTCTTTAACTAGTCCCCTTGCATTTCAAATGCATTCAGCTCTTCAAAATAAATAAATTGGCTTTCTTCTTAAATAAATCTATACCCTACTGTAAAAAATTATTTACCAGTCCATTTTTCATACCTGCTTTCCATACTTCATGTCCCGTGAATGCCCTATTTAATTTTGTGCTCTGTAATGTATTTGAATGATTCTCTCCATATTCCTAATTGGACTTTGGGAGAGCTGAACATTCATCTGTTTTTACAGTGGGCATAGGACATGTTGAGGCAGGACTTTGAAAGCTTGTCAGTGCTGTACAAATGCCCACCAATAATGAATGAATTAGAGGGTGGGGGAAAACTAATTGTACTGTCCTAAACTCTGCTCAAAATCCAAACTGTGCCCACTTGAGATGCCAAAATGAGACGCCAAACGTGATAATAGTTTGAAAGTTCTTCAGAGTCAAGTAACTGGCTTATTTTGGACTTTTTTCATGCTTTAAGGAATTTGATAGCTGTGCTATCAAAATCAGTGAGAGTTGAGGGCACTGAGCAACTTACTGGATCATACCTTCACAGGACCATTTCTTTGTTCTGCATATTTCAGTGAGGGTGTATAAAGAACCAAGGTAGAATGCAGACCTAGAGAAGGTAAAGTCTGAAAAGACTGGCACCATCTGACTCCTCTGAAAACAAGTTTTTCTAATTACTTTATTGGGACCAAGATTTCCTTCTGGGTATCTAATCAGGTCTGACTTTCTTCCATCTTTAACTCATTCCATTTGTACCACCTAAGCTGTGTTCAGTCATCCGCTATCAGGATGCAGAGTGGCAGCAATTCATACCTGAGAGAGAACATGGAAGAACATCAATCCTAATTCATCAACCTGGCAATAGCGAAATTCTCTCTTATTTTATACCCCGGCTCCAGTTAATCTGGATAAAATTTAGACAACAATCCAAGTTTCCAGATGTTTTATGTGAATTGAGGTTGACTTGCAATCCTTTGTGTCTTACCATTCCTCTCAAACTTTGTTTCCATGCCAAGATCTTATCTAAATCATGCTATTAATTTTAAGCTGTAGCCCTGTCGTTGCTTTGTATAACTGCTACTGTAATCTACATTGTATCTTTCTGCAATTCAGAGGAATCAATTCATAGCAGAGGTCCGTGCCTATAATTGACTTTCATATAAATGGATGTTACACTCTTGAACCCCTGCTATAAGCATTCCTTTGTGCAGATTTTCACAGTGATGGAGAGATCATCTTTGGAGAATTTCCTGTCCTTGAAAGAGAATAAGAGGTCTTATCTCTTCTAGATGGGTGTGGTTCCTGTAAATATTCAGGAAGCAAATGAAATACTAGAGCTGCCCCTTTCCTAATTATTCTAAATCTGATGCTAAAAATATGGTCTCTTTCAAGCATTCTATTATTTTAGGCATAAGCATAACAAAAATACTTTTTGTATGTTAAAGAAGGATCTATTTTGTGGGATCTATTTTGTGATCTCTGTGTAAGCCGAAGTCATTACTGCCAAAAAGCACGAGGCAGGAACTCTGTCTCTAGACAGCAATTCAAGATAACGTCATTTATAGTCGTTGAGAGAGAAGGTTTTACATCATCTCTAGAAAATAAGTATTAAATGAAAAGAAAAAGGGGACCTGGAAAAAGAATGTTGAATAATGGACAAGATACAAAACTCACAATCTGTTGACCTACCAGTGTGTGTTATATTGCTTCCTCATGACATTACCCTCTGCAGAGCCTCACTGTGGGATTGCCATGCTCTTATACACCAAAAGCCATGTGGTAAGGCAGATGCAGATCTACAGTGGGAATACATCTGGCTAACATTTGTAATTTAATTTTTGGGTACTCAACTTGAGATACCTTAAAGGAGGCTGATTTTTCAGAGGATAGATGGGCTGAATTCTCTGTCAATCAGGTTCCTTTAATGCATCAGAGTGGCAATCCTCAAACATTTAAAAATCATGTCTGGGCCCTAAAATCTTGAGGATTTTTTAAATAATATTTTTAGGGTTCTTTTTATTGACTTCTGACCTGTGACCTTTGAATGTGCACTAGGGTCTTGAATTCAAGATTTTCTCTGCAACCATGAAGCCTAGAAGTATATCTTTTTGTTTTAATAAAATGTAATTTTGATGTGTCCACATGACTCCAGAAAACACCAGCATTATGAAAGTCGTAATAAAACAGCAAGACTTGGCAACACTGGTACCCATTATCACTGTTCATGTTGTTAAATCTTTATCAAGGAGGACAAGAATTATTATTGATAAGTATGCTTCCTATCTCTGCCTTGTTGCGGTAGCTGCTGAATCTGGAGTTGGCTTGCTTTTTAGCCTAGGCAATCGGCTTATGTATTTCAAATTGCTTGCAAAATATGTAGATTTTGTGGGGAGAGAGGGCATGTGCAGTAGAGTAGATATATTTCATTCATGACATAACTTTTTTTTCTTGTTTTTTAGCAACAGTTGTCCAAGACTATTAAATTTGGACACTCACCACAAACAACAATTTCTGAGAGGACAATGGAGGAGGCAAATTCTAGTTTAGAAGATATATTATTCAGCAGCCCAATGGAGATTGAGAACCAATCAGACACAGTGCTCTCAGACAGTGATAATAAAGTAAGCATCTTAAATGGACATATTCACTACATGACACGGTTATTGAAAGCACAGAACTCACTGGGATAGAGACACAATGTCCAGTGAGCCACAGCAATAGAATCTTCATCTAAGGGATGTCTCTGGCTAAACTACATACTCCTCTCTGCTATCGTTTTTTCCTCAGCTCTTAGTTTTAAAACTGCACTACATCTTTTTTAATTTTAAGTCCCAGCAGTCTGGTTCCATTTTTGGTTTAGGTGGAGCCCGTCCTTCTTCTATAGAATCCTCCTTTCCCAAAAGTGTCCTCAGTTCCTAATGAATCTAAGCCCCTCCTCTCTCTACCTCTGTCTCATCTACACATTGAGAGCCTGCAGTTCTCCCTAACTGACCTTCCATGTGGAACTGGACACATCTCAGAGAATGCTAACATGAAGGTCCTGGACTTCAATCTCTTAGCAGCCTAAATTTGTCCTTTAGGATCCTTCTCCTATCCTTTCCTATTTCACTGGTACCTGCATATACTATGACCACTACCAGCTCGTCCTCAGCACTACACGTAAGTCTATCTACATGTCTTGAGATCTGCAATCTTCACACAAGGCAAGCAAGTCACCGTGAGGTTCTCATGGTCAACACAAACCTAGATGTCTATGTTTCTAATAACTGAGTCTCCCATAAATATTTCTTGTCCCTTCCTCAACCACAGAGACTGTCAAAGGAGGAGTTGGACCATTCAGCTGTGTCCCAGAAAGTATCATCCACTTCAGCCACTCTGTTTTCCAAAAGCCTCTGAGGGCCAGGAGCTCCTTTCCCTAAGGGCTCACATATGCTACCTGCTTATTCCTTTGCTGATATTTTGCTTTTATCAGGGGGTGGTTTTGGCTTTAAATTTAATGAATGTTGAATGTATCTAGCTCCCCTCAAAACTCCCTCGCAAAACTCCTGTTAGCCACTGGCTAAGTAGATGGCAAACATAACATCTCTCTAAAGGTTGGGAAAAGGCTGGTGAGAGACAGATAATCCTGGAGTCCCAAGGGTGGGAAGTTGTACCCAGTTGATTCATAATAAGCCTAAAGAGAAATTCCTTTGAGAGAGATTGAAGCCAAAACCAATTTGACAATGAGCCAGTAACAGCGCAAGTGTTTGTTCTTTGATGACCTCTCTTGTAAAGTCTGTCCCTCACAGATTGGAGTGAGAGCAAAGATTATCTGCACTGATGGCAGCAATGTCTACACGGAAGCAAAAGAATGGCATTGCGGTATCCTTTTAAGTGCAGAAAAGCTCAAAGTCAGTGGGAAACGCTCTAATGCTCAAGTCACTGTATCCCCCAAGCCTATGACATACCGAGTATATTGGGCACTCTGTGGGTATGTCTACACAGCAGCTAGCCATGTGCTTCCCAGAACAGGCAGGCAGGCAGACATTCACATTAGAGGCTTGTCTATATTTAAAACACTACAGTCACACAACTGCATTGTTGCAGCTAAGCTGCTGGAGCATGTCAGTGCAGACTCTACCTACACCGACAGGAGGGAGTCTCCCATTAGCATAGGTTAATTCAACTCCCGGAGAAGCGGTAGCTTGGTCCACTGTAGAATTCTTCCATCAACCTAGAACTGTCTACACTAGTTTTACACTGCTTGGGGGTGGAGGAGTGTGAATGTTTCATACTCCAGAGCGACATGATTATGCTGACCTAGTTTTCTAGTGTAGACCAGGTCTTGTTCTGCTGAGCTAGCACACTGAAAATAGCAGCCTGGCTGCAGCCACATGGGTAGCAGCTTGGGCCAGCCACTCATGTAGAAACCTGCCTGAACCCCATCAGCTGTGCTGCTGCATCCAGGCTGCTACTCTTAGCACACTAGCTCAGGCAAACGAAGTGTGGGCTTGGAAGCATGCTCCCATCTGCTGTGTAGACATACCTTCCGAGCAGGCAGAAAGGAGTTTTGTACAGTGGGTGGCTGAGGAACATGGGCCCTCCTCCCACTAATCCAGAGGCAGGGTGTAGAGTCCCAATCTGTCTACAAAGCCCCCAGTTCCTGCCTCTAGCACTGTTGTGGAGCTAAGCTCTGCAGTGTGTTGAGTGTTATAGAGCTCCTGGCAAGACTGTTCCCCATTCTGGAACAATGAATGCATAAGTGAGGGCCTGCAAAAGTACCCCAAAACCTGATCTCTACAGGCTTTGGTACAAAAACTCCTCCCAAAATCCTAATACCCAGATTTTGGGGAATCCACTGCCACCATCAAGTGCTTTTGAACCCACAAACAGGGGTAGATACTTGAAACCAACCCCAGGGCATCTCATGATCTTTTCTCCATAGAGCTTGAAAAGAAAAGAGAAAATACGAGGTTTAGTCTGTGATACCTGTCCCCTAGTTAGAGGCATGCAGATCCCACAGACAGATTTTCCAGGATAGAGAAATGAACCAATACCAGTTAATTAAAAAAAGAAAGAATTTTTATTATTAAAACAATATCCCAGTTTACAAGCATAGTTGGAATGGCTAGATGGTAAGATCCACCAATTAATATACTCATGGAAGATTCCAATGGGCTCAGGACTTAGTTGTAAAAGAGAGGAAAAAACATTTCTAATAGCACAGACATCAGATCCAAATTCCCAAAACAGAAACAATAAAACCTAATGGATTTATCTAGACTTTACCCTACTTGCACGTTATGAAGAGCCTTTTTCTTGAGAGAGACGACATCTTCTGTTTTCCTCAGTATCTAGAGAGCAAAAACTGTCTCAGAGACAAAGGAGGGAAAACCCCAAAATTCCTTTGTCTCAGTTTGAAATTCCTATCTGCATTTCTATTGGCTGAGCAGATAGCTGGCTAGGTACAGGGACATAGTTAATCCCTTAGTCCCCAGACTGCTGGCCAACCCTCATGGTCATGACAGCCCCCATAGTTGACCTTGCAGATTCATGGCCCTCCTGTGCAGCAGAAACTATATGTGTACACTTCAGGGCTGCACAAGGGACAGAATTTATTTTCCTGTCTGACCTATGGGTACATGGCAAGAAAATTTGTCTAGCCGCCACCCAGCCTATATCCCTATTCACGCAGTAGGATGTTTGAAAAAAGCTTAAGGGCCAGACTGTGCTTTTAAGCCATAGCTCTTGCTGGAGGGAGGTCCAGAGGAATTGTGATGGAGCCTGAGGAGGCATTTGGTTGGCTCAGCCAGAACTCTTCTCAGGAAGAGCATGCCAGAACTGCAGTGGGTTCTCATTCTCATGCTTTCAGGTGTTGCTATGCCCCTCCACAGAGCCACTGGGAGGAGATGGCATATGGCACACCTAGTCCCTTTTGAATCATTGCAAGAGCTCTGTGCAACATGCTCCATGTGGTGCAGAGGGCTGGATATCCCATCTCTGCCCTTTCCAAGAGCACGAAGCCATCTCTCCTCCACCCCTGTGCCCAGGAGTCCAAGATGGATGTCCGCTTCCCTGGATTTTTTCCACGCTTCTAAGTTGTGTAGTTATGCTGACCTACTTTTCCAGTGTAAATCAGGCCTTTGTATCCCCTCTCTGCTTCCATTTATACACGGAGAAGATGGCATATGAATCTTTGTGCAGCAGATTAGAGCTGCAGATTAGAAGTGCTATGTAATTTTAGTGTTACATTTCTTATATTCTATGTGATTTTATTATTGTTTAGGCAAATTGGATTAATGGCTACAGTTCTCAATTTGATTTGGCATGCGTTTGAAACACTAACTTCTAATGATTTATATGAGTATCTGCTAATGAAGCATATAAGGAGAATCACAAACTGTACATAAAAATGTCAGAATTACAAATTGAGCCAGTCATTTTATATGAAAGGTGCAAATAACCTATAATTCATAGCACAGGAAGTGTCACGAGCTTCTAGCTAAAAGGAGTCATTTAAATGTACTCTCTAGTGCATAAACAGAAGAACAATTCTGTTACATTAATGCACATAAATGATTCACTAATACCAAATTTGGTGTCCCAGTTCTTCCTCATGCAGAGGACAGTCTGTACCCAGGGATCACTTTTGGGGGACTGAGCATAAGGAAGTGTTGTCTCCATGTCATGGTATCCATTTCTGCCTTAGCCGCACGAAAGACCACTCCAGCTCTAGGGAATTGGTAGGCATAGGGAGTGGGACTGAGAAAGGAATGACAGCCAAGTTCCACTGAATCATTTTCCCCACCAAACCTATAAACCAAAGCAGAGCGAGTTGGTCTGTGGATAAGATATTGGACTGGAACGTAGCAGATCTGGACACATATCCAGCTACTTAGCCATTTGGTCCCCACCCTGTAACAATGCTTGGGATTCTTCTGTCCCAAGTGCAGGACTCACTGTGTTTTCACTCTCATTTTGTGATTTCACTAGTTCTTTAAATCCTTTACATTCTAATATCTATTTGTACTAATCTTATTTTCTAGTTAAGTGACACTCCGGATCCATTAACCCTTACGCATGTGCCTGGAACAGGACATGAAGTAGAAGAGAAGGTAACAAGACATTAATAATTGAAGTTAATTGAATTTGGATCAAATTCTTTTCTATTTTGATTACTTTTTCCTCCTTTGTTTTATTTTTAAAGAAAACTGCAAGTTTTCTTATTGCAGTACAGGCAGTCCCTGGGTTACGTACAAGATAGGGACTGTAGGTTTGTTCTTAAGTTGAATTTGTATGTAAGTCGGAACTGGTACATATTGTAGGGGAAACTCTAGCCAAACATTTCTCCAGAGCTCAGTTTTATTCTCCCACACCTCACTTCCCTCAGTCCTTTATTCTCAAGCTGAGGTGTCTGCTGAGAAAAGCCGCTCCGCATCTCCCTGGTCTGCTGTGGGGGGTGCTAGCTTCGCATCTCCATGCTCTGCTGGGGAGAAGCAGCTAGTGCGGGGTTGCCTCACCCCGTTTGTAAGTAGGGTCCGATGTAAGTCGGATCCATGTAACCCGGGGACTGCCTGTATTTAGTTTTATTGTCACAAATTCATTCAAAACTGCAGTGACAGTGTGCAATTCTTATGTACTGCATCTGAGGAGACGTTGCTAAATGAGTAGTGACTGAAGTTGGGAAATCTATTTCTAAGGTAATAGGTAACTACAGAAAACTAAACACAGCTCTATCACCTCTGTACCACAGCTCTATCACATCTTACCCATTACCAAGATAGCTTCCCCAATTATCACCTCTAATACCATTAGCTCACAAACATCCCACTCTCCCCACCTCTAATATCATCAATTCACAGACACTTACCTTCCTTCCTTTCCCCCCCTCCCTGCATCCCCCTCCTGTTCTGAAATGTGATTTGTCCTTTTCATATGTGTTCATTTTTTAAATTGTATCCTTTGGTATATATGGTTGTGACTATTTTCTTCCACCATTTGATCTGAGGAAGTGGGTCTGGCCCACGAAAGCTCATCATCTAATAAACCATCTTGTTAGTCTTTAAAGTGCTACATTGTCCTGCATTTTGCTTCAGCTACCCCAGACTAACATGGCTAACATTTTATCACATAGCAAAGGGAGATTGAAACCATAAGTACTTTTACTTCTTTATTATGCATATATGTATCTTAGTAAGACTATGCAAAATATTTCAAAATCGTTAAACAACTGGCTTTCTGATAAATCTATTTTTAACCCCATTGTGGATTTCAGAACTGCCTTGAAAAATAAGGCACTAATTTTTCCTCAGTAGAAGACTTTCCCTCCCTTTCTGAGTTCACACCAATTACAGATCTAACAGTGGTAGCAAAATGGACCACAGGGAGAGACTTTTAATTTTTTGTCACCTCTTAAAGGGTTAGTTTCTTGGGTTCTCGTATTCTTCCAATACAACATCTGCTGTTCCAGGACCTACAAGTAGATACAGAAAGATTAATCTACCAGTGCTTCAGCCAAGCATTATACTCCTTTCCCCCCCCCCCCCCCCACCTTTTTGGAGGGTGCAGAGTGTTTTCAATGTGGCTGGAAATAATCCCAGTCCTGCAAACATTTACTCATATGTACAACCTTATTCATGAAAATAATTGTGTTGTGTTTAATGGCAACTGCCTACGTGAGTGAAGTTATACTTCCATTTACATACCTGGACCCAAGTATTTGCAATCCAAAAGATATAGCACAATTTTTTATTTGATTCTGTGATTTCAACAGTAATTTGACTTTTTACATTATGCTTGGAACTCAACACCTGTTTTGAGGAATGTATACTTTAGTGTCACATTTAGTGTTTCCTGTAAGCTCAGCATTTGAGCAGCCACCCAGGGAGGATTCAGATGCTGACCAGCTGATTAGTAGAGCACCCACAGCTGGAAGCATGTATTTCTACTGGTGGTGCACATCTGCACAAGCCTTGGTGCATACACAATTTATTCTGCACATAAATGGAAAAAAATTAAAGTGAACACTGGTCATCTTATACCAATTAAATACAGTTTGAAAACTCAATAATATGTCCAACCCAGATGATTCAGACCTACCGGCTGAACATAACTAAAATATATGAAATATAACACTTTATATGTAAGCAAACCAGAGATTTTTAAAAAATAACATGTTGGGCTCTTGTTATTTTTCTACTGATTTCTGAGTCCATTCAGGTAACATTTTTAACCTTTCTCCACAACTGTAAAATATAGAAACTTGATTAAAAAAAATAGAAACGGAATCTCTCTCATAAGCACTTGCCTCCAGGTTGAGCTTACAGAAAAACATCAAAATATTGTGAAATTCACGATAAAATTATGAAAGTTGGCAACACAATTGGATCAGAATATTACCTGGCTGAAACTTTAGGTGCTAACCTGTCTTTAGAGCAGCCAAAGCTGATTAACAGTCATTTACAAAGATAAATTAATGTTAGTAATACATCAATTGAGATATCCAATTACTGTAGTATGAATGAAAAATATTTCCCTAGTCACTGTTTCTTCAAAACAAAATAACAAGTTCTTTCTTACACATGTCCATTAACAACTTTTGAAGATTAACTTTTTTTACTGCTTAATACTGACCAGCCATTCTTGTTTGGTTCATTGTGTATGATCTGGGAGCACAGATGGGACTGTATAGGGTTTCACAGAGATCCCAGACTCAGACATATCCATATTAAGTTAACCAATGTTTGGTATGTAAGGTCTCTATCAAGAGTCAGTAGCCCAGTGATCATCATAATCATATTTAAACATTAAGTATGGATAATATTTAACAAGTTATGTGTCAACACTGGAGATTCTTCTTTGAGTGTTGCTCCCTATAGTTCTTGCCTATACTTACAGGAAGATCAACACTCTGAAGATCAATCTTCTGGGGTTCACATTAGTGGGTCTAGTAAGGACCCACTAAATAGAACTCTGATGGTGTCACCGATGACCCAGGTACTCCATGGGGTCACGAGGAGTAAGGGAAGTCAATGGGAGAGTTTTTCCCATTGATCTCCCACAGTGGGGATGCTGGAGAAAGGTAAGGTACGTTGACTCCAGCTACGCAGTTGTCATGGCTAGAATTGCATGTCTCATATTGAATTTATCATGTAATATAAATCAGGCTGAACTGTCTTCCCCTTGCATTCTCTGGTAGAGCTTACTAGAATGGCAAACACTGTGCTCCAGCAGCACAAGGATTGGTCCAAGCTAGTTTGACTACTCTGGCTAACCTCCCCCCACGAGACAGAGAGAGGCAAAAATGGGAGGCCAATCTGTTGCCCTGCTTCTGCATCACTCAGCAAGGCTGACCATACATGAGAGAGTACACCAAGCAAGAGGCAGTGACTGTGCTCCTATTATGCTCCAGGAAATATTGTACCTGCCTGAGGCATAATGTTTCTAGCATTTCTCACTGGGGTGGCTCTGTTGAATTCCTACTGTAGACTCTGTTGTAACACTTGCATTGGTGTAGCTTTTCTGTTTTGGCCGTTTCTTATGTAGCCACACTCAACAGAGCATGGTGAGAATTACTTACACAAGAATTCATGGTTTTTACTTTTCGACAAACTTAAAATGTTCAAGGGAATATTACTAGACAGCCTGTCGTCACATCTAACAACAACTCTTCTGAATGCATACTTATAAGAATGTTTTTTAAAAATCTTTTTGTATGGTTTTAATAAGGGTTACTTTGTTTATCTGGTACAAACAGGTCACACCAGTCAAATTGTCTCGGACAAAAAGACACATTTCCTCTGGCACAATTGAATCAATCAATCTTGATGCAGTCCCACAGGCAGTTGCTCGTCTAGACAACAGTGCAGCGAAGCACAAGCTCTCCATAAAGCCAAAAAAACAGAGGCTGTCAAGAAAACACAGAAGATTAACAAAGGTATTGAACTGATTTGGATCTCAAATGGTAAACGAGATGCTTTACTATAGAAATGATAATCCGTAGTTACAAAATAGTTGCAATTAAAAATACTGAGATGAATTGTAGGTTGTTCCAGCCCTGGTCATAGCTGTAACACTGAGGAGACCTATGGGAAAACTCTTAAGTGCTTTCACAACACTGGCTGTGTCCTCACTGCAAAACCAAGAATGGGTTTTTTATATTGAGAGAACTCAAGATAGCTGTCTGAATGTAAAACCCTCATGGAGACAGTGGACACTAGTGTTTACCTCAGTGTAGCTATCTGGGACTGATGATGTGCTGCACATATGCCTGACCGCTTCAGGAGGTACTATGAGCTGAAATGTGATCTCTCCCCCACAGTTAGCCAGCTCTATTAACCTGTCATGGGAAGGTGGGCCATGGTCCTTTCTCTTTTCTCTTCCTCACTCCCTATAACATTACCGGAGCCTCAGAGGGTACTAATAGGGAGAGGGCTCCATGCACCCTTCCCCTCCTGATGTGGCCCTGCCATAATCTGATCATTAGGATTTCCAAAGAGATACTTCACAATCCAAAAACATTAAGAAAACTGAAATTTGCCCTTGCATAGGTGCTGGCATTTTGAGTGTAGAGTAATCCAGGTAAAAGTCTGCAAGCAAAGTCAACAAAGGCCTGACTCTACTTCAATTCCAATTTCTCACGTCCTGCTTGCAGCCAGATCTTCCTATCCTGCTGCCCCACATTCACAGGGGCCATTTCACAGCCCAGGGTGGAGTTGGGTGCCTGGCTGATGGAAGGAGCACCTACCTCTCTCCCCACTTCGTTCTCCCTTCTCCAAAAGTCATAAGAGGCCAGCTGGCAGCTTCCCTGGAGTTAACAGGAGTTTCCAGATAAGGGAGTGAGGAGAAGGGCCAGGTTGCAGCTGAACCGGATATTTATTCACAAGGCAGCAGGACACAGAAAAGAGAATAGCTGGCTGACCCATTTGCTTTGCTGTCTGTTCCACCTGCCTCCTCTCTGGTGGGAAATCTGTTGGCCCAGCAGCTTCTTCCCCCTCAACTAACAGAAGGCATTTTAATGGCAATGTGGTTGTCTGAGGGGTTGCAGAGTTGTGGTGAGTGTATTATGTCCTAAGGAAGGTTCATGGAGCTGGAGAAAGCACTCCCTGCACTGGGCAGAGTGTGGATCAGCTGTTTGCCTAGAACCAGTCAGTCTCCTGGCGTGGCTGGGTCAAGCTGACGTGCAAGAAACAAGATGGCAGTCAGCAACTGGCAGTGGTTCGGGAGGGGCATCATGCAGTTTGTGCAGGTACTGCAGCTGAGTAAAAGCTGTTGATAGAGAAGCAAACATACACATGGAATCAACAGAAATGGAGGGCTTATCTCCACTGCTCCTGGGAACCTACTTCTCTGCTTGGGTAGACAGATACACACTAACTCTGCTTAAGCTAGCACGTTAAAAATAGGAAGGAAGCCAGGAGTAGCTCTGGCTAATGGCCTGGTAGAAATTTGCCTGGAACCTCTGGATGGCTTATCTGAGCTGTTGTTGCCTGTGCCACTTTGTGGCTACAGTGTGCATTTTTAGTAGACCAGCTTGAGCCGAGCTAGCATATCTGTGTAGCCAAGCTGGGGAGTACGCACTCAGCTGCAGAGTAGATATACCCTAAAACAGTCAAAATACTTCTGAATCACTAACCCACCCCATGGTAACCGGGAGGTGTGATGACTGCTGCTTAATGAAGAGTCACGCCTCTCAAATAGCACTGAAAACTGGCTACCTCTAAGTTTCCCATGATTTTTAGGTGGCTCCCAAATTCCTGAACTAGCAGCTTGGGGAGACCCAACTAATAGGGTTTAGCAGAGCCAGGCAGAGAGTAGCAGTCACACACCATTTCCTTTGTCATTATTCCTTCTGTCCTTGTCATCATATTTAGCTGCTCTATGCAGAGCTGCATGCTCTTTCTGTGGGACACAATACTTTTGAACAGGTACTTAACAGAACAAACTCTGGAGCTTACAAAGTGGTTCAATATGGGGCAGTGCTGGAAATGTGAATGTTACAATCTAATACCTTCACATCATGAGTAGCCAAAGTGAGGCCTGTGGGTTGGGTGAAGCCCTGTGTGATTGAGGCCACCCTCATGTGGCCTATGATGACCACAATCCCAGCATACAATATTCCTCAACGAGCTCATTGGCCTCCTTAAGTTTTGGCTTTGTGTGTACACACTATGCCCCAGACTCAGGTTTATGATGAGGATGGCTGCTATCTACTCCATTTTATACAAATCAGGGAAGGCTAAAGGCCACATCTGAAGGTGCTGCTGTAGGTCTTGGTTAGTCAGAATTTAGGCACGACTGATTCACATGCCTTAGTGTAAATTGTGATTTATTTAATATTATAATGTTGTTGCTGCCAGGATGTGTCCTTTCTTTTACAGAATATTACTCCTGTAAAAGGTGGAACAGGTCAACATATTGTTCAGTTACTCTAATATGTCATGGGTTGTGATATAGTAACCCATGAATTAATGTGTGTGGACTCTGTATTCAAATAAAGAAGAAATATGACTAACAAAGGATGAAAATAAAATGATCTATATCTCAAACCAATTTAAAAAACAGCAACTAGTCAGTTCACAACTGATTACTTTACCATTCTGTACAGTGATGAAAGGGAACAATAACCATATTAAGTTAGTAACTCAGATATTTTTTTCTAATATTAGGAGTCACAAAGCATAACTGTGCCAGAGTTTGAGCAAGAAAACCCAGAAACCCAACATTTCAGCGAGAGATACCCAGATGACAGTGGGCATATTGCCACAGCTAAGCCAACCCAATTCAGAGAAGAGCAAAAACATTTTGAGGTAGCAGATGAGAAAACAAAGCAAGATGATGATTGGAGAATGCACAAGGCTGAAGAGAAAAGACAAATGGCAGGATTAGAAGAAAAAAGACATCTGGAAGAACAAAGACGCCACGAAGTTGAACAGATGCAAAGGGAACAGGAGAGAAAGAGTTGTGAAGAAGAGAAAAGGCAGCATCTTCTTGAGGAGGAGAAATATTTGAAAATAGAAAAGCAAAGGCAACAGGAGGGGGAGAAAAGACAACAAGAACAACAGAGGCAACAGGAACTAGAGAAGCAAAAAAGACAGGAAGAGAGGAGACAACAGGAACTGGAGGAGCAAAAAAGACAGGACGAGAGGAGACAACTGGAACTGGAGAAGCAAAAAAGACAGGATGAGAGGAGACAACTGGAACTGGAGGAGCAGAAAAGACAGGAAGAGCACAGACTGCAGGAACTGGGGGAGCAAAAAAGACAGGACGAGAGGAGACAACTGGAACTGGAGGAGCAAAAAATAAAAGGACTGGAAGAACAAAGCTGTCATAAGATTGAAAAACAGCATCAGGAGGACGAAAACAAGAGACAAGTGGATCAACAAAGACAAGAATTAAAAGAGAGACGAGAACTTGAGAAAAGACATCTTCAGGCTGAAGAGAAACTGCAGCAGGAGGAAGAGGCGAAGAAACTGGAAGAACAAAGCCAACATCAGAAGGAAAAAAAGAAAAGAGAAGAACAAACTCTGCAAAAACTGGAGAAGCAAAAGAGACAAGAAGAACAAAGAAAATATGAGCCAGGAGAACAAATGCACCTGGAGAGTGAAGAGAGAGCACAGCAGAGAAAATTTATAAGGCAAGAGGGATCAAATGAACAAGACCTGGAAAAAATACATGTAGATGAACAGTATCTGGAAAAGCAAAAAGAACAAGAGCAAGCCTTAAGACAGAAACAGGACAAAAAAGAAGTGGGTTCTGTGGATGCTGGTAGGGAATCCCTGGAGAAGCAGCTTCAAGAAGAATCAAACCAACAAAAAACAAAACGGGCACAGAAAGGAAAGGTAGTAGTAGAAGAAAAGGTAACACCAAAACAGACGAGAGCAGTTAAAACTGAGGAGCAGGAGAAGACAGGTGAAGAACTAAGGTGGCAGGAAGTAGATGAAAGGCAGGCTATGCACAGACCATTCACGTTTCAAGTGTCATCAGGAGAGAAACAAATCATATTTCAGAAAGTGAATTTGAGCCCTGTTACTCCTGTCAAAGAGGCAGCACACCATTCCGCCCTCAAAGAATCCAAGACCCATATATCTAGCAAAGGTTCTCATGCATTCCCATCCTCTTTGTGTGTCCCCCATACAGCTATTTTGGTTACTGGAGCACAACTTTGTGGCACTGCCGTAAATCTGAATCAGATCAAAGATACAGCTTGTAAATCTCTACTTGGTTTGACAGAAGAAAGAAAAAACATGGATATTCCTCCTCTAGAAAACACCCAGAAAACTACTCTTGATCCCAAACCTAGCTGCAGTAAAATGAAATATACACAGGAGACGAACAACCAGGACATATTAGCTGAATGGGCTTCTATTAGATCTAGAATCCTAAAGAGTGCCGAAACCAGCAAGCTAAATGAGAGAGACCGAGTAAGCATCTGTAGACACAGTGATGACTGGACACTCAAAGGACGAGGCAGTTCTTCTCATGGCAATTTAAGGAAAACCCTGTCTGCAAATGCAAAATTTTCCATAACACCAGCATGGCAAAAATTTTCAGACACCTCAAAAGCTGGTGCAGATGCTGAGAGTGCAAGTGCTGCAGAAAATATCGAAGCAGAGAACACAAGAAAAAAGACAGATTCATCCAATCAGGCAAATGACGATGTGGCTGCTCACAAAGAGACTCTAGTTTGTAAAGATAATGTGACTGAAATGGCCATGAAAAGTGAAACACATCTTGAAACGGCAAATAACACAGAAGGCTATAAATTTGCCAAAGATCTTCCATCTTTCCTTGTTCCAAGCCTCTCTCATTCTCCAGGAAAAGAACTGCCCCAATCAGGATCTCCAGCTGCTTTGGAAAGTCTGGAGAACACTGGTACAAGAAAACTGGATAAAGGAGCACCAAATGAAGAAGAAAATGTTTCTCCATTTGGGATAAAATTAAGAAGGACAAATTACTCCCTGCGTTTCCACTATGATCAACAGGTGGAGCAAAAGAAAAAGAAAAGGTACAGTGCAGGAGATAGTTTTGATGGTGTACTTGGCCCACTAGTTGCAACAGAAAGTGGAAAAGAAACCATTAATAGCACTCTAAAAGACAATACATCTCCTAGCCCAGACAGAGAGAATGTCACTGTTAATGTTTCAAAAGACTCCTCAAATAATGTTTCAGAGAATTCACACACAACAGTTACGCTATTATGCCCAACCACTAACAACCAGATTCCTTTACCTAGTTATGAGAAACTGGTGTGCAAATTGTCACTCCAAAAGAAACCTGCATTAGCTCCAAAGCCCACAAACCAGACCCCACCGTCCTCGCCTCTCTCTAAAATGAATAAATCAAACTTAGCTGACACATTAGGACAAAAGATGGCTAAAACTGAATTAGACACTACCTGGAAAAAAGAAGACAATAAAGGGAATGTGGTGCACTCACCAGCACAGAATGAGAACAAAAATGAAGAGGAAGAAACCAGAGAAAAGAAATCATTCTTCCCATCTATCACCATGCCATGGAGAGAGAAAGCTGACAAAAAGCTTGATCTGCTGAGAAAAGGTATGTAATATAAAAGTGTGACGAGTAACTATGGACCATGTTTCTAGAGAGAGAGAGAGAGAGGCTGGAAGTGTGTGTGTGCAAAACATTGGCATTAAATGTAGACTGTTACATTTTTATTTGGTTTGGTGACAACTTAGTGTGAATGGTGTATAAATAAATCAGGAGACTAATTCCATTCTCAATAAGTTTACAGTCTGGTTTACATACAGGAAAAAAAGATCAGATATAAATAAGTGATATGCTGGTGTGTCTGATAGTAGCATGCAGCATCTCATCTAGTTGTGGTCTCTTAAGGAAGTCTGTTGTGTAGTCGCAAGACATGAATATGCACAGAAACACTCTTAATGTTTTTAATTAAATAAGTACTACTGGGAATTATGTGATTATGGGAGATTTTAACTTTCCAGATATAGAGGACAAGTGTTACCATTAATACTAATAGTAGGGCTCAGATCTTCCTCATTGTGATAGCTGACAGATTTCTTCACAAAGTACTTGATGAACCAAGAAGATGTGATGTCACTTTAGATTTGGTATTGGTGTGTAGTGAGGATATCATAGAAGAACTGGCAGTGGAGAACAATCTTGGTTTGAGTGATCATGAGCTAATTCAGTTTAAACTAAATGGAAGGATAAACAAAAATAGATCTGCAATTAGGAACTTTGATTTCAAAAGGGCTAACTTTTTTTTAAAAAAAATAAGGGAATTAGGAGAATGGATTTTGACTGAAGAACACAAGGATAGGAATGTGGAGGAAACTATCTGACGCCTG